TAATTACAGCAACCCTAGAGCTGCTTCATGAGTTAATCCACCACATCACCTCCCATGAACTTTTATCACTCTGTCCTTATACATCTCCCCCATACCCACAGCTGGGTTTCCACAGGCAGAAGCCAGCCCCAGCTGACAGCAGCACAGGCAGCAAGGCAAGTGCTGGGAGTGGCAGCCCCAGTAGGGCTTGATGCCAAGATTTTAGAACAGCAGCCCCTCCTCTGGGACAAGTCACTACAGGCGAAGGAAAACTAGCCTTACTGAAAAGCCAAAGCCTGAGGAAGGGAGAAGAAAGGGGACAGAGAAAGGAAGCCATTTATCAGAACATGCTCAAATTGGACAATTTGGCTTATGACAGACCCTCCTGATGGGCCCCTTACTGATGGCTGTCCATGAGTGAGGGACTGCATTGAAATAGCTCTGCAGTACGCATTACTGATTGACTGCTGCAGGCTGCCAGTTTCTGCAGCTTAAACCTTAAATTACATCTATAATGCTTTTACTTTCTGACTGCAGAGGAACTGTTCTGAGCCTGAGTACTGCCTTCCAGCCTTGCAGAGAGAAATGCTCTTTCAGCAACAGCTCTGAAGGATACAATTATCCTGCCCCCACAAATGGAGCCATGACCAAGAAACACAACAGCAAAGCTTTAAGTGTCAATATTTTGAATTGTTTGACTGTCTTTGCAGAAACATATGTTATTGCACTTATGTGAAGAGCTTGGGATGGAAGTTGGAAAAATGCCTGTGCAAGTACCACCTTCAATTCTAGCTGAACGTCAGCAGACAGTGACCAGACCAAAACCACATGGAAAATGTCATTCTAGTTGCCAAGTCAAAATTTTCTCCTTCATCTCTGCTTTTTGGCTCTCAATTTTCCCAGTCTTTTCTATCAGTATTGTCTCTCACGGTGCACATTAAAAAGAAAAACTTCTCCAGCATGGCATAGTTGTGCTGCCCTCCTCACCAGGTTTCTTGTCCATCCACCTTGGCTGCCACTACCTTTCAAAAATGCCACAGGATTGCTTTGTTTTCCATTGCTCTTTGGCCTCTTGCACATGCAAAATTCTTCCCTTTCCTTTTCCCTCATCTTCTTTCAAAAGATGCCATACAGGACTGCATGAACCTCTCACCTTGTCCTCTGCTTTTCTTAGGGTGGTTGGACTTGCTATTGGAATCCTCTTGCACAAACAAGTTTAACTAGAAGGAATTCCTGAAAAGCCACATTTTACTATGTAGCTTTAGAAGGAACATTTCTCTAGAGGCTTTATTTAAAAACACCTTTGGTAGCAGAGAAGAGGTCACAGGGAGAACAGAAATTAAAGCCTTCTTTACTCCACTAATGCAGAGGCATCAGTGCAACAGGAGGCACTAAAACTGCCTGCAGCTGCACCAGAGCTGTGGCCCAAGAAACTTCACCCACTACAAGAAAGCCTCAGGCAGGCAGGAGAGCTGTACAGTCGTACTTAAAATGACAAATGCCACAGCACGACAAGGGGTGAAACGTGAAGCAGCAAAGCCAGCATCCCACAGCAGGGCTGCCCAGTTGCAGTCCAGCAGGAATTCTGCTACTTGCTCAATGCCAGCGGATATTGCACATGCTGACTCCCTTCACTGGCTATGCCTGTGCCTCAAGCAGCTCTCAGCCCCAGGATCTGAAGGGTCTGTGCTCAGGTGAGAGAACAGATCAGGCAACGCAGCACTGATGCAAGAAGATATATCAAACAAACCCTGATGTGTATCTGGCAGACTCTAGATTTCTTAAAATGACAGAAAGCTGCAATACAAACTGAAGAATAAAAGTGATACTTGCTTGTTTTGGCTTTACTTAGGAAAATCACAGGTCTCAGGTATACATATTCCCAGTGCAAAAGAGGCATCAGAAGTTCCCACGTGCACTCACTCCACTGGAAACAAAGTCACTACTTCTCACTGGTCCAATCTTCACATCAAGTTTTAGCAGCTTATTTCTTTGTTCTGAAGGTCCCCAAGTTAACATATATCATTACTATTTGGCTATCAAACAAAAATAAAAAAACAAACCCAAATCATTGTGTCTTTAAGACTACATTTAGTTTCTCTGTGCAAATTTTCACATCCATGTGACACCATTGGATTGGCAGTAATGATTTTAACTATGCTACCCCAAAATGTCACATACATTAGGCAGCATTTTAAGAGCTCTGGAAATGGTTTAGTAGAACCAAGGGAAAGGCCCTGCTAACAGCAACTTTAAGATTAGAGTTAGGTAGAAGCATATATGTATCTTGCATAAATGGACATGGGGAAAAAAAATACTTAAAACCCCACAACTCCACTTGGGAATTAACCAGCATGACAAAGAAGTTATGAAAAAAAAAATTAAAAAAAAAACCCACAGTAGAATAAAGTGTACATGGCCCTCTCTCCAAAAACACGAGACCTCTCTTGACTAGGCTTGTTGTAATTCTCATTGATATACACTCTTTGATTCCTGACTCAGAGTGGCAACTTCCACTCCCCACAATTCCTGTATCCTCCTGATCATAAAACCAGCCTGCTGCAGTGAAGGAGCCCTCCTGCTTCACGCTCCTCATGCAGTGTTCACAACCTTTACACTGCTCCTATCAATTTCAAGCAGTTCCATCACTTTCCAGCAAGGAATACGAGCAACAAGCTGCCCGCTGCCCCCATCCCATGCCATCCCATGCCATCCCATGCCATCCCATGCCATCCCATGCCATCCCATGCCATCCCATGCCATCCCATCCCATCAAGAAGGACCTTGCATCAGTTCATAAAATATAAGGTTTCAAAGAAGTCATTGCTTTTGCCCTCATTATTTAAAATCAGGTACTATCCTCACAATACTCCTGCCCTTTACTTGCTAAAAAAGTGCAAGTAATTGCCATCAGTGAGCAATAAGGCTGATATTGAGAATCCCCCACAAACTGCACCAAAAAGCACCATGCTTCACGCATGGTCCCCAAAGATGCTAGAAGAACAACAGGCCAGTATCCCAAAACTAGAGAGCTCTGCACCAAAGACAGCACTGAGTCAGGAGCCTCAGGAACTCCTTCATGCTCCACAAGCAGCTGGAAGGAGCAGCAGCCTTTGACATGACTCCTGGGCAGGAGAGAAAAACAACTTGCCCTGGTCCTGCTACTCCATGCCACAGTGAGATCGGTCAATTCAGCATTCAGTCAAGAGCCAAGCATCCGCATCTCCCATGGCTACCTCAAATCCTCCCTGGTGAGTGGTTCCAGCAGCAAACCCCTCCTTTGCTAACACAGTCCTTGGCCACACCAACATTTGAACTCTTTGCAGGCTGCATGTATTTCAAGAGTTCCATGGCACTCAGCCCTGTGCTAAACTATTCCTTCTAGAGCAGGAGCACATTTGGTCCAAAGGCACCCCTTGCAAGAAGCAAATACCCATCATCCCAATACTTTTGTTTCTGACTGCAGCTTGCACTTGAAAAGTAAAAGTGGTTTGTACACAATTCATTAGGAAGTCAGGAGACTCATTTCCCTTTCCACTTTCACTTGGTCATTAGACAAATAGAAATTTAGGGAATGTGAAGCCCAACCCAGGCAGTGAGCTTGTGCTCCACCAGGCTCACGGGGAGTTAAACCTTGCTGGCAGGACCGGATCCAAGGGGCTGCTGGATATTTCGGGCTGGGGCTCCTTTGCTGCTCAACAAACCACTGCACACACCTGCAGTGCTGGAAAACAATCCTATCTTATAGTTAGGCTGGTATTTTTTTAAGCTGGTTCTGCCAGTTCTCCTCCCACTTATGAGAGGCATTAATCACAGGAAAAAGAGGAAGCAACAGTAAGCCAACAGTTTTGCCCACAGGCCAGTTTTTGTGGTTTTTTTGGGATCTGAAAAGGGGACTCTGGAGGCATCTTCCATTTCCGTCTGAAACAGAAGCGATATAGCAGCATTTGCAAAGAAACTTGAGAAACTCTGTTAGTGAAAAAGAAAAACAAAAAACACCCAAACCCACAGAGGGAAGAAAGCCCAAGAAGATGCATCTGGAGTTTTTCTGTGGAAGTTAAGAGAGCATCCCGGCTGAACGGCTCAAGGCAGCTCTGCCCTGGGTCTGTGCACGGGGTGCGAGCGATGCCGCAGGCGGAGTGCCCGTGTCCCGCACGGGGGTGTTCACGTCCCGCACAGGGGTGTCCGTGTCCC